TTGATTATTTTAATAAGCTAGTGTGCTGCTATCTATATATATGTGTGTGTGTGTGTGTGTGTGTGTGCTCTGAACACCATTAGATGGCGCCACATGATCAAGGTTGTCCTCCCTCTCTGCAGCAGATTTGATTCAAATGAGTGATTCGAACAGTTTTAAAGAAAGAAACGTGTTTATCTTCAAATTGCAAACTGCTGTGGACGCACAGATGTGCAGCAGCTGGTTCTGGTGAATCAACACAACGGTCACACTGAAAAAAATCATCTGTCCGTCAGGGAAACAATTCAACGTGACACAAACATGTGTCTGTGCTGAGATCTGAAAAAAACAACAGGCCTGAAATAGAATCTGAGCCTCGGAAAGAAAAGACATCCTGAGGGTCGTTCAGCTGTCTGCAGATTCCAACAATCACTCCACACACACACGCACACACACACACACACACACACACGCACACACACACGCACACACACACGCACACACACACACACACACTGAAGATGGACATATGCATAAGGTCTCTTCAAAAAGACATTTAATATTGGTTTGTTAATTGACTCAGTCATTTCAGATTCTTTGTTGTGTATAATTTGTTGTGTATTATTCCAACAGTCGACTCGTTTGCAAATGATTTATACACAAATAACAAAAATCTAATCATATTCAAGAGCAACAACTAAAAATAAAAATCTGGATCTCATGTATTAAAATGTGGTTTTCATAAGGAGACTGTTGACAGTTTACTCTGTTCTGTGTTAAGACGCTCTCTTTACTATTCAAACACGTGAGGCTGCTGCAATAATCGAAGCTCGATGGGATAAAACACGTGAGATAACATAGGATGAATTCTGCTAATGTTGCTGAGTTGATAAAAACATGTTTGTACAAATTGCTGCTCAAAACTTAAATTACAAACTTAATATAGGTTAACACGTCTCCAGTAGGTGGCAGTATTTGACTGTTTTTATCACTGGAGCCAATAAGGACAATCTGTTTTGAAAGCGTTAACTGGAGACAATTTAGTAAAATGTTCTTCTCTTTTGTTTGCCAGGATGCCGACTTGTTTACCGTCGATGCAGCAGATGTTAAAAATAAAATACAGGATGTGAGACGTGAAAAGAAAAAGCTCCAGTTTGATAAACGTTCACACAAAACATGAAAGAGAAGAGCAACTGCTTTTAAAAGAAAAGATGTTTGAACCCTCTTTAGTGTTCAGCCTGAAAACAATGTGGTGAGTTGTGACTCGACATTTTGACCTCAATACCACACACTCCCCCGAGAATGTTCAGCACACACACATTCTTAAACTCACACATACACAGACGGCTTCCTCGCCCCTGGTGCACTGGACGATTACAGGAGGTTTACAGCCTTCTCCATCCATTTACAATTTAATACCCCAGGTACACATGTACACACACACACACACACACACAGGTTGGTTTGTGTGTTTTGGTTACACTCGGGGGATTCCAGTCCATGTTTGCTGGGAATTTAATTCCCAGCAGCAAAATTCTCCAGATCATGTTAAGGACACAGCTGACCCTCCCCTTCAGCAGATTTGTTCCACCCCTTCAGTGTGTTTCGAATATGAATATACAGTTACTGATCATCTTCCTATACAGTCACTTATTGTTTGTATACATTCACTCTCTTGATATATCTGTTCACTCATTTTCCTCTCCGTCGGAAAATAATTGGCTCCTGATGCATTTTTAATGTGCAGCCACCCAGCCGGCCTATTGCTGAGTGTTTGTGTGTGTGTGTGTGTGTGATGGACAAAAGATGAATGAGGCGAGATGAAATAGCCATAAATTGCTTTTGAATATTTCTCACACAAATTACAGACAACAGACGTTCATCATATCAACGTCATCTCGAATCCTGCACATATAACAGAGAGTGTGTGCTTGTATTCATTAATCTTCCATTTGTTTGTTGTCACATCATATGAGTGTAAAATATTTGTATTCATATCGTTCTTGCATATTTTTCTGAACACAGGGTGGACTGATGTGTTTTGTAATTGCACAGCAACATAAGGAATGAAGACGTGCTCAGCACCGTCCAGTCAGATGGTAATAAAATCACAAAGAAAACAATCATAGCAGTAGATATAATTAGACTTGTGTCCACACCGTCATGTTTGTTATAATATAACAATAATAATAATATCCTTTGTTAACGCTCTTTCCATATTCCAAGGACTTCTCACCATCCTCACTTTCTTTACTGTCCTGAACTTTATAACAACATTGAGACTCTATTAAATGTCCTTAACTTTCTAAAAAAGTCCTCATTTTGCAAACCTGTCCTTGCTCCTGGAAAACACCCTGAAGGGACAGCTTTAAAATACAGAACCATATCATTGGTTGTTAAATTTAAAGTCCAGGAACTGAGAGTGTATTTTACAGTTCCAACCTGCTCCTAAGATTTAAAATGACTGCATCACCTCGCAGGCATCCATTAAAATATTCTAAAGGATCAGTTCACACAAATTGTCCAGGTTATAAAACCTATACGAGCTTTGTGAATTATCCCGAATAACTTTTTCACACATACAACAGAGCTGAAAACAGAATATAAGTTAATATGAGTTTCTGTATAACCAACATGTCACAGGAAGTCAGCAGGCGAGCTCAAAGTTCATCTCTGAATAATGTATGAGTGTTTGTTTCTCTTTTCACATGAAGTTAACGGAATTATAATAAACTCAACTTGAACATTTACCCAACGAGAAGAGTCGATTGCTCTCAGCGCAGAGCAGAGGTCGAAAGTTCAGCACAGACTAAATCCCACTGTTTCTTACATTGTTATGACACAAGAGGTGATGTTCCCAGCCTGGTGCAGCCTCCATGATTTCAGAGGATATTGTGGTGTTTGAACACAACCCTTGCAGAGATGATCAATAATGAATGGGCTGAAGGGAAAGACTCGGCAGATTGAGAATGAACTTTTGGCATCACGTCTCTTCTCTGAGGACGATTATGTCACTGTTCATTGCCTTGAAAACAATAGATGTGGACAGAACGTTACGTTCATGAATCAACTGAAATTTGAATCAAATCCTAAAAACTGGAATCCCAGAAAAACCAAGATAATTCTTTCCATTCATGCAGAGATCAGAAAGTTTCATGTCATTCTTAATCCTTTTTCACTTTCAACAACTTAACGAAACAGAATGTAGCGTGTATTGCCGATGGTTGTAAATCTATTCATGGAACATTTTGAAACCAAAACCAAAACGTTAAATAGAGTTTACAGACAAGCTAGGAGCCGGACTGGGCAGCTAAACACTAACATCAGCACATTAATGTAACATTTACAATGTTTATGATTATAGCGCAAGTTAATATTTTGCAATTAGCATGAAAAGAAACTAGCAGCTGAGGCTGATGGGAAAGATTTGGACAAAGCTAATACTCTGATGATGAACCAGAGAGCAAACAGATCTGTGCCCGGTCAAGCAATGATGCAGAACTTAATCTTCTTGTGGCTCGGACCAAATGGATGTGAGCCTAAAGTGACCCATGTGCCCAAATAGCACAAAACAAATCGGGCCACCTTTGGCCGACATGTGGTGTTGCTCTGGCTTACTTGTGGCCAAGATCTGGCAAACAGGAGCCAACAGCCCAGGTGCCATCATTCCACGAGGTATTTGGGCCGGATGTGGCAGATATGAGCCAAATCTGGACCAAAACAAGTTTACTATGTGGGAAGCCAGAATTTCCCCAGGCTTTGTATGAACCAAATTCAACAAGTTGTTTAGATATTTTGGCTTCAAGCAAAGATTCAGGCCGAACATTACATGCAGGAACATAAATAACGGACATGAAGACACATCGTGCAAGACTGAAAATATCTGTTATTATCTGAGCACCATGGCCCAGTTGTTTCTGCTGCTGTGTGTTTAATAAGCAGAGCAGCTTCCCTGAGGAGGGCAGAGGTCCTGAGTTCATGGGGAACAACACAGCTTGTCTCTTTACATTATCCCGGCGTCGTGAGTTTTTACGAGGCCACGGCCTCATCTCCGACCGCAGCTTCCCTCAGCTCATGTTCTGCCTCCCGTCTCAGAACTGTGGTCTGTGGAAATGTTTGACCACAAAGTAAATTATTGCTCAGATGTAAATGCAAACCAAGATCAAGAATTAAAAGCTGTATGATTTAAATTTTTTATATTAGAGACAGAATAATTCTGTGTTGAGCTGAGACACAAACACGATACAAAGCTATTGACACAGATGACTATAAACTATACTCTATATATAATAAATCAGATTTTAAATATTAAATCATCTACATTTAACATTTAGATACAACATATACATTTAACATCTTGGTTTGAGTCAACATTTGAATTTAGCACTTAGGTCAAAGTAATTTAGAGAAAGAAATCTCGGTCGCTGCAGGGAAATAAAGGCAGCGATGAAAGTAGAATGTTAATGAGCTCACTGTGGGATGTCGGCACGTTCCCTCTGCCCCTGAACTAAACTTATTATTAAATACAAATGAATCTCTGTTGGAAAATAGAACCAGACTCCACCTCTCTCACTCTGTCAATATAACAGGGGATGTTTGTTCTCAGCATTAAAGCACCGCAACTGTCATGTCCTGTGCAAAGCTCTCTCTCTCTCTCTCTCTCTCCCTCTCTCTCTCCCCCTCTCTCTCCCCCTCTCTCTCTCTATATATATTCAGGTTCACTGCTTTTTGCCCAAGTTCATTTCTCTACAAACGACATATTACCACATTGGAAGTATATGTACATATTATCTGTGTTTTTATTTAGTTTTTTACCTTTTGTATTCTGTCTATCTGCTGCTGTAACAAGTTCATTTCCCCGTCATGGGATTAAATAAAGCTTTATCTTTCTTATCTCATCTTAGTCGCCAAAATGAAAATAATGACACCGAATCAACAAGAAGATAAAAAAAATGACAACGATGAATAATGAAGCAAAGTTGTGTGTTTGAGTGGAATTCACTTTACTTTTGAAACAGAGAAATCCTGACAACTATAACCTACTAACCTTCGTGCTGCTGTTAAACCGTGTTTGAATAAATGATAAGTTATTGCATTAAGCTTCAGAGCAGCAGGAGTCTTTGAATTTTCAGTGTGATGGGTTAGAGAACACAGCAGCGCAGCAGGGAGTCCAGTCTGAAGTGTGCTCTTTTCATATCTGATTATTTCACCATGAATAATGGGTTAGGTCCCCTACTCTCAAAACATGGAGAATCTTTTCATGCAGTTTGGGTTTTGATTGTTTTCTGGTTGGGAGGACGCTTGTGTTGCTCTTTATCTTTTCACAATGCAACACAAACATCTCTCTCCAGGAACTCAGCTTGAGATTTAGCACATAAATATATATATATATATATATATATATATATATATATAAATGGAGATGTAGCGCCCATCTTTATATAAATGTGCTAAATATTAATTCAATCTGAGGATATATCCACTTCTGAAAAAACATTTTATCCTGTAAAAAACTGGGGACCAGCTGTGTTAGGAAATTAGTGCCACGGTTTTTTCAACAAAACAAAATATTTGAGAGTTGTTTTTAAAGATTTACATCTTCAGTAGGAACAAAGAGGCTCAAGAGCTGCGAGTGACAGACTGAAGAGGGAAGTCAGAAAGTGTCAGGAGACGCACTAACACTAACCTGAAACAACAACTGGTAGATTTAGGTCTTTTCATGGGAATTAGACAACAACACAAATAGTGTCAATCAGTCTTATCCATTAATGGATGCTACACCTGAAAATCACCTGAGAGCGCAGATGCGGCCCCGCGGTGGAAACACACTGTCTGGATTAATGAACCTCACCCCTGCAGGAAAGAGTGTGTGTGTGTAAAGCTAATATTCAAAATGAGGAGGAAAGTGAAAATGTGTGGTTAATTATTCATAGGAGGAGGAGGGAGTGCATGTTTTTGTGTCTTTGGTGAGCGCTGAATGTTTCCTCGCTGAGCTGTAAATCCTGTGTTTGAATATCTGGTGGTTCTCCACCTGGACGATAAACGGTTCACACTGCAGCTCAAAAAAAAAAAGAAGCTGTCGTGATTGAGTGAAAAGCCAAACCTTTGAATGAACCTTCATGATCTGAACCACATGAATACACACAGAATACTGCATGTTTAAGAATTAGCTGTAACTCTGCCCACTCATGGAGGGAATCGTCTTGTTTTTGGCGACTGAGACAAACAAAGTCGGGAACTGAATTGTGTTGGAGAGGAGCCACAGACGAGAAGCTGCTAAAACAGATGTGATGTCCTTGTTGCTCTACTTTCATGTTTGTTTTCCTCGCAGCTGCCAGAACATATTGGTTCTGAATATCCTTCATTATCGTCAGTCAGAGAAAAGAAAGTATGTAATCAGTTATTATATATTCCAAGTGGATACACTGGAAAATGGTGAAGCCATCAAGCTCATATGCATGAAGTTTAATTAAGCCCCCTCTGACCAGCATCTTCGTTATAATTCATCCATATATTTTATTCAATGTGTTTCATAGATTCATTCACTGTGTCATGGGATCATTTTGACAGATATATAAACTCAGAAAAGTCATGAAATAAAAATCTTGATTTTAAAGAAGCGTCTCCTTGACACAGGAACTGAATGATGTGAACCAGGGGACACATCTGAGAAATGTTCCCAAAAGTCTGTTTCATGCTTTTTTTTACAGAGGCTGTGATCGGCGGAGGTTAAAGGGTCGACTCCGAGCGTCCTAATAGGCCGGAGGAACTCATGTCTGTGGTTTTTGACTTCAAACGGCCTTTGAAGGTGTGTTTCTGCCCCTGGGGGGGGGCGGTAATTAGTTACGCCACTGGACCAGAAGGTCAGCATGTATATTAAATGAGATTAACTACGCAGATAATGAGTGTGTGTGTGTGTGTGTGTGTGTGTGGTGTAGAATTACCGCCGTGTAACCTCATTAAGGATCAACTTCCTCAGTGACCCTTCAACTTTCTACATGACAGTTAAATTCATTAGTCATGTAGTCGTTGAGTTTTGATTGGTCAGTGTTGTGAAGTGGGTGGAGCCACAACCAGATGTTACGCGCATGTGTTTAGAACCAAACACGACCGTGGAAATAACCTGGTGGAGAGCAGATAAAGACAAACTTCTTTAACAGTGCGAGAGGTTGTTTAACGTCATTCTGTAGAATCAGCGCTCGAAAGTCGTTTAGTCGTTTAGTCCTTAAACTGGATCGTGTCATTAGTGCCTTCTCATCATTAAAAGATTAAAAAGTCGTTTTTATTATCAGATCAGATTGCGCTGCAGGAAAATGAGAATACAACTGAAACAATAACGGTAGAGCTGAGTGAATTTAGGGCAAAGTGAATTTTTCAGTTGCAACAAAGTCAATGCAAAGACGCAAATAGATCTTGGTGTTTAGCCGACGAAGACATTTGCCAGCGTTAGTGAGCAAGAGGTCGATTCCCGTAAGTAACCAACAGGTAACCTGCTGGTTGCGTTTTAATTATTTTACACCAGCCCTTAACGCGTTCACCTAAACTAACAAAGGGTGGACGTCAGACAGCAGAACCTCGTGTTTCACCTGGAGGAGGTCAGTGAAAGTTGTCGCTCGAGGGAACAAAAGGTTCACTGAAAATGCATGTATCAATTTCAGGGGCAGAAAAATCGGCGTCTGAGACGGAACAATGAGTCACATCAGAGGGAGGAAAGACTGTGACAGAGATAAATGTCAGACGATAAAAAAGAAACACGACGACAGCCAGAGGAAAAGATGATTAGTGTTTACAGAAGGATGATAGATGTCCAATACAAAGGAGAGAGAGGGCGGAGGAGGAGAAGAAGAGTCACAGATCAAGATGAACAGAGAGAACGTCTGAAGTGTCTATTTTCATCTGCACTGCCTCTGTTATTATCTCCATCTATCTCCTCACATTTCATAGTTACTGAGTCTTTTTCTCCGAGTAGTGTTCATCATCAGTGTGTTTGTGTCTTTCAACCTCAACCGGATTCTAACTCTGAAACCAAACCTGAAACAGAGACGTCAACGTCAATGGTGCATATTCTACTGGTGACCTCCGTCCTCGGTCTTTACTTTGAAAGCTGCAGAGAAAAATAAAAGTTTTTTTTTTTTTTTTTCATAATGCGTCTCCTTTAATAGCCACCTTTAAAAAATGTGCTCAGTTTTCCAAAGTCAATCATTTATCATTTACCCACAAATCTCCACCAGGTCCTTCATTCAAAATTGTTGTGAGTTTCTAAAGAATGTCCTCGCTGACAACTATGCAGTTAAATGAATATTTAAGCCTTCAGGACTTTATACAAACCAGCAATTATTTCTAAGTTAACGTTTCAATAAATTCACTTTGATTATTAAAGAGCACAAATGGAAATTTGAGAGAAAAAGATGAAGGTAAAACTTAAAAATCATGTAACAGATATCTGAAACTTCATATGTATATTCTTCCTGTTCTATAAGCTACAATACAAATCTTGTTCCAGTCTGAATAATGACACGATATGAAAGTAAAAGGCCTCGCGGATGATGCTACATTGTGAAACGAAGATTAATTAATTATTCGTTGTTGCTCCGGGTTTAGTTGAACTTTCTCACTTTGAAATAAATATGTTCGAACTTTTCAACTCGTCCACTGAGGACAAAGAAATCCACAGAGACAAGGAGAGAAAAACAACTGAGCGAAAAAGGAGAAGAGAGAGAGAGACTGAAAGAGACGTTCTGTCCTTTTGTCCATCCATCCATCCATCCAGGTTTGTTTTTTTGGTTTGACTCTCACAGGCTGTTCTCAGACATGAACTGTGAACTTGTGTCTGGACATTTTCTGGAGTTTATGTTTATCATGTGAAGACGCAGCAGGAGATTCTCCGGCTCAGACTCGTTCACAACAACAGGAACAAGTGGGGAACGTTCAGGTGAGGGGTGGAGCCTGTAGAGACACGACGTATGAGATAAGTGTTCGGCCCTGATCACCAAAAGCTCTGGAATCTCTTCATGTCCGTCACGTGTTAGAAACCTCACCTCCGACACGTCCACTCGCTCACTGTGAATGTTCCAGACATCTTCCTGCTGTGTTCTCACATGGACTCACTCTGATATTGTCCAGACATGTAACTAGGGGGCTGCAGGAAAAGATCCAGAAAATGTCCAGAGCAACTGACAGTGTTCTCACACACAGAACCTCCAGAACATGTCAGGAACATGTCCGGAACATGTCAGGAACATGTCCGGAACATGTCAGGAACATGTGTGGGCTTCAGTTCACATTCTGACTTTTCCTCAATGCTGTGACTGTTTGAAATGAACTGAGCGATGAGACCTGGCTCGCTCCTCATCTCCTCTGCTCTCGCTCGACAGCCTCGCTGACAGCAGCTCAATAACCAGCAGCAGCAGTCAGATGCGACCGACGGCTGTTTAAAACTGATCCCTCCGAAATGTTCAGCTCAGGAAATTGATTTGCAGCTTGAAAATCCTTTTAGGTTCTGAAACGCTCACGTCTGACAGAAATGACCTTTCAGAGTCCAGAGTGCAGAGGCCATGGCTGCTCTTTATTTAGCACGAGGTCGATGAAAACACACTCAGAGGACGGCTCTAATGGTTTGTGTTTGACATGTACTGACCCAGATGCTCATGAACCAGACATCAACTAGTCTGTCAGCTTCCCTTCTCACCAGGTCACGATTCAAATCCCGAACACGTCGACGAATCCTTGAAGGTTTCCTCCGCTGCATCCTGCACTTTAAAAAAAAAAGAAAAACATAATTCTATCGAACATTAAACTCTAATCAATCACAGTCAGTTGTTTTCACTCTGCCGGTTTTTAATATGTGGCTGCATGAGGAGGAAGCTCTCAACTAAAACCTCTCAGGTGACACAAGGCTTTAAAGTAAGCGACACGCAAAGACTTTGTAACCGCGACTCCAGAATAAATGACTTTACTGAGACTGCCGGCTGTTTTAAACTCATCTCTCTGGGGTTAATAGATGAGCCTCATTCATTCATTTAAGTCACAGTTAAATGAATGAATGAATGAAGCGCTGTCCACTGAAGCTGAGACTCATCTGAACACCAGCAGCATTAGCAAGGTGGATGATGACTACGACATTGTTCGCTCATTGAACGTCCTCACTTACAGTCACTGCTTGTCATTAAATAAGGTCAGAATGGGGTCAGACACACAGTAAAGTTCTAGATGTCAGTTTGTAAACCTCTGCCTGCAGTGTATTTTTAAATCCAGCTCTTGGCAGCTCCAGCAGACGAACAAAGCGCTGACAGTCGCTTCACAATGAAAAATTATTTTCTGATCCAAAACACCCACGACTGAACTGTTGTCCTGCGCCAACATCCTGTTCTCCACTGGATCTCTGACAAACCAGACACCAACACTGGTGCTGATTTTCCACAACAAACTGAAATGAAGCCTGAAATCTAACAGCACAAGAAGCTTCGAGGAAATGGTCAAAACTTGCAAAAATGTTTCTTAGAGGAAAATAATTTCCTCAAGCACAAAGAAACTTTTTGAGTTTGGTGAAAAGGTTGAAATCACCAAACAGGAGTGAATTTCAGCTGCAGAGGGGAGTCGAAGTCCACTCACAGAGACGGAGGCTAAGAGCGTATCCAAGTGACGTCGGTGCCAAACGCCGACTGGGCCTCGCAGGCAGAATGTCCCAAGCAATGCGACGGCCAATAAAATCCTCTCATTAGGCATTGGACTGAGCAGCAGGGGACGTTTGCTAGGGACAGAGCGGGACTTGGCAGCGCTTGGACACAGACGAGGCCTCAAACGCCGGGACACTGTCTCCTTTTGTTGGAGGGAAAAACAAAACACTTCCAGGCACTTTTACTGAGGATGATGGACTTTCGTGCTTTGTGGAATGTTGCTTCTCTGCGGTTCAAACGAAAAACAAGTGGGTCACCGATTCACCAAACTTAAACATGAAACCTGCTCAGAGTTTCTGATCAAATGAACCATCTGAAGACAAAATACACGACTCAGTGGATTAATAGTTACGACCACAAACCCTCCAGCAACACGAAGCACAGCGACAACCTGCTCATGAAGGACGATTTGCATTTGACTGGTTCCTCTTCTGGGAATTGATTGAGAGTAATTACAGACAGTAACCCCTAATTTAGCCGATGAGTGGGATCATTACTCGTGTCATTTGCATAATTTCTGCACTTTGACAAATTGGTAGAAAATCATCCGTCTCACAAAAATCAAACAATCAATTCAACACATCAGTTTAAATCAATGCAAATAAATATACGGATGAAAACAGGACATGTGGAGTATTCACTGAACCGTCGGTCTGGTTTACCAGGTTTGGTTCTAGGTTCTTTGAACTGAACTTTGCTGTTGAATGACTTTGTGACAGCAGTTTGAGACATACCTCGTGGAATGATGGTGCACTGTCACGGTGAGGCATGGAGAGCAGCTGGACCCAAATGCAGGAGCGAGGCAGGTCCAATTCCCAAAACCAGGATTTGATGAAAACATAAAATACGGGACAGGAAACAAAAATAAAAGCAAACTGGCAGGATAAGGAACTTAGAGCTGACAGAGACAAAACAGACGACTCGACAAAGACAGCGCTGAGGACTTGACTTGTCAAATGAGAGACACGTGGCAGAGGACAAACAAATCAAGGCAACAATCAAACCTGGAGGGAAACACACACAAAGGCAGGAAGTAAAAAGGAAAGAAACACATGAGGGAGATTAGAACTTCAAAATAAAACAGGAAACACATGATGAACACAGAACCAAAATTAGACCTCCAGAGCTCGGTGGTCCGGGGCGGGATCATGACATGTGCTCCTGTTTGTCAGACACAAGTAACCATAGCAACACCACATGCCAACCAAAGAGCTAGTTTTGTGTTATTTGAGCCATATTGAGCCAAATTCACCACATTGACCAGATTATTGAGTTTTCATCAAACAGCATATTTTGAGGTTTCGCCATGAGAAAAAAAGTTTCTGTAAATTTCAAATGCAGCGTTTAATCTGCCCCAAACTTCACATGGTCACTAAACGTGTGTCTCAGAGCCAGGACAGGTTTTTAAATAGTTTTATAAAAGGTTAAATTACAATAACGGCACTAACTCCTGAACCCTCACACGTTGTCACACTGCTTCAGCCTTCACTTGTGTGTCATCCACCTTAATTATATTTCCTGCACGTACTATTTATTTGCATTTTAAAACACAAACAGTATTTGAATACACTGGAAAACAAGAGCTCCATGTTGGCCCCCCGCTTCTTCCCGGCTAATCAGCAGTGAGTGTGAGTGAGGTGAATTGTTGGTAATGAAAAACAATCAGAGGAGAAGAGTGCCGCTTCAGATAGATTTCTCCAACACGCCTCTTAATAAAAGTCTTAATGGATAAATGAAGAGAGCATCGTGTGGGGAAGACGCTGAGACTCATGAATAATAATAACAAACAGTGTTTCGTGTTTAAAGGACGACGAAGACGCAGCTTTAATCTAAAATATAGAATAAATGTTATTGTGGCTCTTTCATGTCGGAGCAGGACATGTGGAGGAGGACACACGGAATACGAAACATTGCCCCCATGACTTCCACAGTATTTAGCATAACAAGCAATTATATTTCTAATGAGGAGCCACTTGAGCTGTTAGCGCCACAGCTGGAGACCGTCCATTTATTGACCAATTAAAAAACCTGCTGCTAGTTGTTAATTAAAGATGCCTGCAGCTCGGGGGTTCAGTCCCGAGGCCACGTTCAGAGCCGCAGCACCGAGGTGACGCACGATCGCAAATTAAATGCTGATTAGTAAAGATGCTGCTGTCAAGGTTGTTGAAACGAGTTGGAATAAACAAAGGATCTGGTCACGTTTCACTAACCCTATAGAGACTTCCTGCACGTTCAAGATTTGTTGTTATATGCAGGAAGAAAAGACCACAAGTGACTGTATATAAAGACAAACAGCGACTGTATTCATGGACGAGCAGTGACTGTGTATATAATGATCTATATCAACACTTATTCTCTGAAGTTTTTAACTGGTGTTGGTGTGTTTTGATTGTCACGATCATATATTTGTCTATGTATGTTTGATCAACCCCTAACTTGTATCTCACATCAGATCCACAGTCCAGACTTCATACGAGCTCAAGATCGGTTTGTTTTTCAGCTTCTTAAAAAAAACAAGGGTGTAAAAATAAAAACGATTCTCGACTCGTCTGAAGATTTGTAGCTGCTGATTAAATCTGAGGTGATTGTAGTTGTAATGAGGTTTATTCCCCTGAATTCAATGTATTTGTCCGGATTATCCAGCAGTGCGTTTGAGGTTGTATTTAATAATTCTTATTTCTGTTTTTTAATGTTTAATTGTGACAGGTGAGGTCACACAATGTACCAGATAAACACAGTGCTTCAAAACCGCTCTGATCACTGTTTCCACATATTTCTGTGTTTGTGTTTGTGTGTGTGGTGACAAATTATTGATGTTTCCCTGGCTGCAGCACTGACTGTGGGACTGACTGACAAGTTTCACACTGAGCCGAGCCCGAGGGGACGTTTGCTGGTCCTGAAATCTGTCAGAGTCACAGCAGCAGAAAAACACTCGCCTGGGGAAAGTGACGTGACGAACTGCTGACGGAATATTTACAGACGGAAACTTTATTCAAACACACGGTCGTGCAAACTGCAATAAAAAAACAGCCAGTGTTGTTAATCTCTCTTGTTTTGTGTACCTGTATCTCAATCTGTGTGTGCGTCATCATGTAAATGTGCGATGACGTTTCGACGCCTTTAGATAAAGCCTGGAAATGTGGTCACCCATGTTTCTTTGACCCTGAGCTGAGGTGGCACTGAAACTATAAGTGTCTCAATTCAGAGGCTGCATTTGAAGACAGATTGTGTCACGGCCGCGTGACGAGGCCATCCAGGGCTCCGACAAAAGCGGCCAACAAATGCCACCTTCCACCCCCAACGACAACAGAGGCTCCGTCGGGTGATCCTACAGTGACAAAGTCTTTTTTAAAGTGGTGATGGCAGCAAATACATCAAAAGAATTGATTTTTGAATGTAAGCACTCAACCGAACAGCTAAAAGAACACACACACAAAAACCACCCCCATCTTTTCAATGTTTTTAATAAACCAAAGTTTTGTCCTTTAGTTCTGTTGCCAGGCCACGACTGTGGGGGTGGGACAAGCTGAGGAGGCAACAAGAAGACCAGACCAACTTACTTTGGTTCGGCTGTAACTAAATCTGGCAACTTAAGACAAATTTAGTTCTTTTTTTACTTGATACGGTTTTCTGTCATGTCGACTAGGGAGGTGTTTCCAGTGCACGTGGACTGCACAGTGATGGTGGATGTCGAGGTCACGGAGGACGATCACAGCATGTGTGTGTTTCCATGTGGAGCCGTGGGAGACGGGTGTTACACGTCCGAGTTAGATGGCAGAAAACAGATGGATGACAACTCCGGGCTAGAGCAAAAAAAAACAAACACTGGGACCGCCGCTGCAGGGTCGAGTTGTCATTGACGTCCTTCTTCTGTCCTCCGATTATTCTAGTGAAAAGTGAATTAATGTTTCATTTCAAATTCCAACCATCTGTTTTTCTTGTGCAGCTGCAGCCAGATGAGGTCGAGCGACTGTGTGACCTACATTTCTACGAACCATTAAATGAATCAATTTTTGTTTTCACTGCAACGGTTACGGGTCAGTTTGTATTTCAACTCTTTCCAGCATCAGCTGCAGAACTTAAGCTCGGTCAGTGACGCTCCAACAGTGGCTGTTCAACACCGTGTTCTCTCAGGTGTTTCTTTACGTGACAGTCAAGTAGTTTATCAGTCGCATATTTGCTAAGATAACATTTTAAATGAAATAAACAACAACAATTACTGCTTAGATAAGTACATTCTTTGGCCACTTTGAGGCAGCAAACCAAACAACAAGTTCACGATGTGTCACCTAAAAAAGTTCTTCTGTTTAATGTGTCAGCAAACAACGATTTCACCCGTCAGGAAATCGAACCTTCAGAGGAGAAGGTGAACGAACTGTAAGTTTTGTATTAAGTCCGAGGCGTTCATGAATAAAGATTTGCTAATCGTGTTAAACCAGGTCAAACTAAACTCAGTCTTCAGAGGTTTTTTTTATTTTTTATCTTAGACCACTTTGTTTAATGACCAGTTCGCTCAGGACAGCGACTCTTTTATCTCGTCCCTCGCCCAAGTTAAGTGCTCATGGGAAATCGCTCTGAAAGATCATAATATAAACCCTTAATATGGCCGAGCGGCGCAGCGGCCGCCTGTGATTGACTCTCTCCAGCTGCTGGGCTGAGTCATTACGCTGCAAAGTGAAATTGGAATCCAGTGTTGGGGAATAAAGGTCAAAGCCATTGACTCTGTTCTCTAATACCAACCATTATCCCATCAACTCCAGTCACCTGGGAATATATGGACTGGAACAAACTATTACTCTATGTCTGCACTCTGTGGGGCTCCTGTCGCTCTCCATCTTCATCCTCCACCTCCTCCCTTTTTTATCCCAGAGGGTTTTCAATGAGGAGATTTTATCGTGTCATGTCTTTCCCCTTCCCTGTGTTTGATCCGTTCTTCCACCGTGCCTCCTCTCTCTAACAGTCAATAAATCAACAGATGTAGCAAATTAATGATCAGCGGTGGACGCTCACGCTCCGTAACACAACCCAGATAAGAACCAGTCGCCATGAAACAATAACTATCCGTGAATCTTGTGGGAAGTCTGAGTCTCAAACCCACGTTACCATCAAATCACCACATCCACATGCAGGAAGGTGAATGAGGAGAAAGAGTTTTTGCTTGGTGCAGTCGTTTTAGTAAAGTTACCGTGTCGATGCTCTATCACCTTTTCTGGTCAGTTTTCCATTAATGTCGATTAACAGAAGTGACGATAATAAATTCTTTAATCGTATAGAGTTGCCATTAAACTGGAGGGCGGGCGTCTCACGCTCACTGACTCTAGAGTTCAGAAAGTCGAGGAAACTTCACAGATTAAAAGCAGATTAAGAAACTGGGAAAGAAGAAGTGAACTGAATAAAAGCTTTGTCCTTGATTCAGGACGTTTGCTTCACGTCATCCATCATCTCTTTTCTCTCGTTTCCTTTCCTGTCACTATTGTCCCCTACCAAAATAAAAGCTGAGAATATAATTTAAAGCTGAGCACATTCACAGGTTTTACTGCTTGTTTTAACGCTTGTTTTAATTCGCTGTACGAATATTTTGCACTCAAATGCAAGTCACATTATTGAGTTGAGTTAAGCCTCGGTTATGAAACATTGTTTAGATAAAAAAATGATTTATGTCTTAAAGGAAATGATTAAAGATTCTTGGGAAATATTTGATGTACTTTACATTTTAGCCACTGTTGAGCAAACTTCATCTTGTAAGTAAAAAGAGTAATTTTATCATCATTTTATAATGGAATCATTTTAATATGTGATCTGATTTAATTACATATAATACAGCAGTCTATGCAGGATCCTTGCCTGAAGTGTCACCATGACCTAAAAGATGAAGGATAAACAGTCTCATCGTTAATTCTTTGTCATTAAGCTGATCTCTTATTTGCACATGTAAAATATTGAAGTCCTGAAATTATAATTGAACAAAATTTGAGTCTGGTGTCAGCGTTAAAATCTGCTGAATTTGTCTTCTCCTCGCGCTGCAGTTACATAACAATCTGAACTCGAGCTCTTTGCATATCAAGGACTGAAATTTCTCCAAGCTGCGGTTGCCGTGGCGCCCTGTGCACTCTTAATTATCGCTAATTATTTTAAAATAAACTAATTAAAAATCTGAAATAGAAACGCAACCGAGAAGATCGACCGTGAAAGACTCACACAGTCTCACCACGTGAACTACTGTGCTTATGACGGCATATTTAAATAGATCCAGTCCAGTTTGGGATGAAGTCCAAAGAGAGAGACTGTTTCTGATGTTAATATAAAGTATTTAAATATAAAGGATCCATTCTAGGGTAAAGAACAAAATAATAAGTACAATTTAGATGAAAATCACTAGTGACAACATCACTAGGATTATTTTATATTAAATTCCACACACTTCAGTGGCTTTGCATCCATTTGCTTCTTGTCTTTGATATTTTATTTTTAAAATACTCGAGTCGTCGTGGTCTCTATTGACAAAGTGTTGATTTGTTTGTTTTGCAGCTTAAGATAATTAACTTTTAGTGTGATTACAAAACAAATTTTAACTAATCATAGCTGAAACACACACACACACACACACACACACACACACACACACAGTAAGAAAGAGCCCAGAGGTGTATTTGTGCTTGAGAATGATCAGTTGTTGGGTAAAGGCCAACAGTTTGTGCTTGGTTACACTCATTCACACAGTTGATATTTACACAGAATTACACAATATACAGCGTTACGGTCATGGTACAAAGCAGTTTACATTCATGTTTGGTAAAGGTCGAGCAGCATCATGTCCTGTCACAAACCTCATCAGAAGACGTGATGGATGAGGAGCCGTGGATTTATTTTCCAAAGATAAATGAAAACATATCAGGGCTGTCATCTCGCCATCCCCAGCACACGCTAACCTTTTCCTCTCTACCTCCTCCCAAGGAATAATTTGTGATTTTTAAGTGAAGGAAAAAGCTTCAGGTGCAGCAACAAACCCTTGCGATGCTTGTTCCATCAGATCAGCCAATTACAAGGATCGAGCTGCTGAGGCATGGTGCTTTTACCAGCTTCGCTGAGCATGATGGGAGCAAGGTCGGAGGTTCACACCCATCAAATTGAACAATTATGTACTGTGGGGGGCAGTAATGAGCCAATTGGCGCCCATGACGTGTCGATATGCTGCCCTTTAATGGAACCCATGAGGTTGTGGTTACGATGTCGGAGGGCATTTACACAGTGTGCACGCAAGTTGTTGCTGCTAGGCAACAGCAAAATGGATGCTAATATTTACGTAACGCCACAGGGGTTAACAATTTATTCAGCTAGCTGTGATGCAGGAACAGAAACTCTATAGGAATAAAATGTGGATAAATTAACTGCTCCTGCGCCGGTTCTGAAAAACATCAGTAACACATCACAACCAGAGTTTTCAAGAAATTCTGAATTCCGCAGGTTTGTTTTTTGTCGTCTCTGTTGAGAATTGGGAGGATTTATTATACGTGAAAGTTAAAATTGAATTGATTGAAATTCTAGTTCAAACTGTAATTTAAATACTTGCAGTATTGGTATTAACAACTTTGACTGGATATTTATGACCAAAATGCACCATGGGAGATGAAGACAACTTCTTTCTTTCATTTTTTGAGTGGTCAGTTTGAACCTTCGACTAACTTCTGACTCATCGCTCCAGACCTGCACTTTTACTCTCGACACCCTGGACGCCAAAAATAACAATAACAATCCTTCAGTCTGTTGACAAGAGAGCACAATGATGTATCCATGCAATGCATTGTGGGATAGCTTTGGGGACTTAGAGCAAACAAGGTGAAGTCAAACTCTTTCTGAAAACCTGTTTGACCCATTTCCTCAATGTGACGTTGTAAAAAACTTTAAAGTCGTCCAACTCAAATCCAGGTTTGATCTCATTGAGCTGCTGCTGTTGAACTAAAGCACGTGTTGGTTTGTTTTTAAATTGAATCTGAAAATCATGCCTCGAAAATGATTCTGGTGGATTCAGTCAAACACACGTTTGAAACATCGACGAGATGAAACTGTCTTTTCGTGAGGAATGATTGTGACTCTGAAACAGAACAGATAGTTCTTATTATTTTCTGTCTGTCCTCAGAAAGAGAGAGAGAGAGACGCCATTTCTGAGTTGTTGAGGCGTGCGTTCATAGGGGAAGAGAGCGAGGATGGAGATCGACAGCTGGCGAGGTTCGGAGGGAGGGAACAGAGGGGGATTGTGGGATTTTGGCTTGGGCGAGGCAGTGACATAGCTCAGAGACAGAGAGAGAGAGAGGATCTGCTGATCGAGGGATTTAAAGGGGACGAGCAAGGGGACAAACAGGCCGAGTCCAGAAATCATTTAGGATTTTATCTGCAGGGTTTGATCCTCTCTAACATCCCAGTCTAAACTCTACTCTCTTTCTAATCACTTTTTCTTATCCCACAGTTGAAACTAATACAACTGGAACTTTCATTAACGTGAGCAAAGTGCTGTTATTCAGACCATTTGTATGATGACACAGCTGCAGCCGGAGGTAGACCGAGAGTTATAATTACAATATGCTAATTCACCTTCAAATTCTAAAATACAAAATGACCTTTGGTGATCACAGTTTAAACGAATTTAATTTGAAATATGACAATTAGAATATATAACTGCTGCTCGTTTAATGCATGAGTTGAACTGCAGCTGAAGGTGTTGTGGAAATAAACCGAGAGGGAGATTTAAGTTTAATTACCTCCGTCGAAGAGGTTTTCACCCCTGCGTTTGTTTATTCCTCAGCAGGAATTATATAGTTGAGACGGTTATATTGTTTAAAACTGACACATTTTAATTTGTAGGAGAAGCAGACTGAATGAGCCTCAAATCAGAGCCCACATGTTGAGCCGAGAAGGCCCAAAGTTGTACTTATTATTTTTTAAAGCCCTTTGGACGTCCAACGGGCTTTAAAAAATAATAAGTTGTACTTTTGCCGTGTTGAGCTTCCATCTGTTCGGCCGATCTGCATGAGCCAAGACATCAGTGGCCTTTGATCGGCAGCTCGATGGATATGCCCACAGGTGGAGGGTGTGTTGGCAGTGCAGCGCCTGAAGCTTCTCGGGCGACGGAGAAAAACAAATTGCGATAAGTTTTGGACACAAATGAAATGCAGTAGATTCAGTCCCCGGCCACGTCCCGTATGTTTGATCCCCCGGGCTGCATCCAGAACTCAGCTCCTTCTGATACTCACACACAGAAGATAACTCTAAAATTCAGATGCTGGCCCTTTTAAATTCATCCCTCACTCCTCTAAGTTTCTCTTTCTGAGCCTGAACTGATTTCACAACAACACACACGACAAGTTTACTGAGCCTGTAGGGGGCGCTGTGTGACATCTGACCGTTATCCTCGTGCCAGGGTCGGGGGTCGCGAGCTCACCAGGCCTCTGTATCCGGCCCCTCATCTGCATTAGCCATTCTTAGCAGGACACATCTGGATCGGCCACGCAACCTCTGGTGCTGGAGTTGCATTGTGGGTGACGTAGGGAACCAGGTGTCGCACGGTCGAAGAACATGTGGTATAACAAAAAGACAGCTGCATCAATTTGAATCAAGAGTCTGGTTGTGGTTTAAGGCTTGAAAATGACGCGATCGATAACTTGAATTATTATTAAAACTGTTTTTTCAGTGAAACAGAAAAAAGAAGTAAAATAAAGGAATAAACACTCATTTGTGTTTGTTTGAATTCTCTCTCTCTCTCTCTTTCTCTTTTGCCTCATTATCCCTCTTTTTCCCAGCTGATCCCCTCTTGTTTCTCTTCATCCTCTGCTCTCCGTCCTTCATCCATGAAAAAGAAAAACAAAGCGTCTCCTCTTTTTAATCCCAATCAGTTATATTCAGACCTCTCGCTCTCCCCTCTTAGTCACCATGCCTCTCGTCCGACTCCTGCACGCTGCTTTGTTTTGCAGAATAATGCACATCAAACACATTTTCATGACGTAACAATGTCGGACATTACACAAATCTTGCATCATGCATCCTCGAACCCGTCCAAACTTTTTATTTTTTGCCTGTCAGAATTGTTTTGACGCGGTTCCCCAGTGCCTTCAGTTTTGCTCGCTTCTGGAAAACACAATTATGGACAATTGGCTGCCACCAGCGGTTAAATCCTCGCAGCGCGGCCACGTGTTCACTCCTCTCCGTCACAAAGCGCTGCGTGTTAAACGTACAAGCTGAATGCTTCACGTGTGGGATGGAGGTGGAGTTAAGCCCTATGTTTGGCGTTGTTGAATCAGTTTTTATCGTCAGACTCTTTTGGGAAAACAATCATAGTTTCATGATAAATGTTTTGGAGAGCTCCAGATCTGTTCGTCTGCAGTCGGTAAACTTTAAATGTTTTCAGTTTCACAAAGCTGAAGAAAAACATTTGAATTGTCCTCAAAGCGACGGCGCTTTGATTGGTCGAGGAGAACTTGATTCTGTTCTTCTGTCATTCTTTGTCTAATCCCTGCTCATATACACCATCGGATTCCAGAACCTCATTAATCCCCCCCGTCAGCCTCCTCTCACTTTGTCGTTTCTATTTTCTCCTGCATCTTTATCTCCTTCTCTTTCTGTCTCCGTGTGGAATCTCGTCTTCTTCTTGTATCTATTGTTGTCTGGGGAACAACTGGGGGACAGGATTTCCTGACAATGATTCTCTCTTCTCCTTCCTGCCTCTGTAATCTCTTTATCACCATCTTGTCATCTCCTTCCCCTCCTCCATCACCCCCTCCCTCCGTCGCTCACACGTCCGTGGCGTTCAGGTGGGTCGACACCACGTCCTGCGTCTCCAGCACTATCTTCTTTGCTCTCCCTCCTCCTTCCCCTCCCCCGAGTGGATGAATGCTGTCCAGCCGGCCGCTCCTCCCTCGCTCCCCGCCCTTGTGACACTTGAAGACGGCGAGGAAGGCAGCGCGATAGTTGCGGTTCATCCAGCCGTACAGCAGCGGGTTGGCGAAGGTGGAGCACATGGCGACCACGTGGAAGACGGTGTAGAGCAGGCGGTAGTCGCGCATGTCCAGCACTGTGCTGTCGATGTCGGTGGCCAGCTGGAAGGCGTGGAAGGGCAGCCAGCTGACGGCGAACACCACCACCATGGTCACCAACATCTTGGTGGTCTTGCGGCGTCTGCGGTGGCGGTCTGAGCTGGCGCTGCTGTTGCCGCAGGTCTCCGCCGGGCTGACGTGGCCACGCAGCTTGGACCAGATGCGGGCGTAGGCGAAGGAGATGATGGACAGCGGCAGGAAGTACTGCAGGATCAACATGGAGATGCTGTAGACGGTGCCGTCGGTGCTTTTACCGGGCCACTTCTCCGTGCACACCTGGGGTGACACAGAGTCATAGAGATTAACTTGGTGTAATTTATATAAAAAATGATTTTAATAACTTAAGGTTTAGGTTTGTTTGTGTTTAGAGCTTGTTGCACTGCCCCCAAGTGGCCAAAAATATTTTTGGAATCTTTAATTCAGTTTTGATTCAATTAAGTTTTCCTCAGATTTCTCAGATAAAACCTTTGGTTTGATTCAAGTAGATTAAAGAAGAATGTTAGTTTCATTTACTTTTGATCATTGACTGAATTTATTTATTTAAATAAATTCAGTTACAGATTGAAACGGAGGACGGAGTTTCTGCAGCGAACGAAAGGAAATGAATAAAGCAGGAGGGAGGAGAAGAACAGAAAGACAGGGAGGATAGAAGAGCGAGGGATGGAAAGAGAGAGATGAAAGAGATGGAGAAGAGAGGAGGGACACGTGAGGCAGCGAGGAACGAGCAGAAAGATCAAAGGTCTGAAGTGTTTGATATTGCAACATGGTGTTACAGGTGTGTAGGTGTGTGTGTGTGTGTGTGTGTGTGTGTGTGTGTGTGTGTGTACCTGTATGCTGGGTCCAGGCTCCAGAGTTAAGGAGCTGTACTCTCTGAAGATGGCCAGCGGACTGGCCAGCACAGCGCTCAGCACCCACGTCAACGCAATCACGCCAAAACACACGTCCTTACGCATCCTGGTCTCCAGGTGGTACACGATACACCTAAACACAACACACACAGGTTTGTGCTGCTGTCCTTGTCAGGACATTGCATTAACTTCCATTCATCGTAGACAGCCTCAACAAAATAATCACACGTTAATATATTTTTATAGTTCTGATGAGTCCGTTTTTAACTTTAAACACCTGCACCCACCTGTGTCGGTCCAGGGCGATGACATTGAGCGTCACCGTGGAGACGTGCACGGCGAGCCCCTGGGCGTAGGGCAGCAGGAAGCAGAGGGTGCTGCCGAACTTCCACTCTTCCTGCAGCGTGTAGACGAGGGTGAAGGGGAGGCACAGCGTGTTGACCAGGAGGTCGGCTGCAGGACACGGACACAAATTCTTCATTCAGACTTTCACAAATGCATCAGTATCTGGAGAGCTGAGGCAGGCGAGAGCCAAACACAAAGAAAAACACAAACTGAACCAACAAATGTTTAAACACGCTGAACACTGATTGGCTGAAGAGAAGCAGAGAGCAACTGACGGAGACAGGAAGTAAAGTAACAACCGACAAACAAGAGCAGACATTTCAAAATAAAATGGGAAGTCCAATTTCCAAAAGTTTTAAAAGACGTAACTAATTGATTGAACTTATTGAAAAACTCTAAATGACATTTTGATGCAGATCAGCAAAACAAAAAAAACACAGATGACTTATGTCAAAATGTAAATCAATACATGTACACAGCGCTAGTGTACTTGTGTTAATGTACTTTGTTTTCAATTAAAACAGATTATTTTAAACCATTAATCCGTGATGTTGAAACATTTCCTGTGTTTAAATGAGACGAATGAACCAGTGAGTCACAGCAGCTGCTGCCGTCCAAACAGCTGGTGAGTCATCAGAGAGAGAGAGAGAGAGAGAGAGAGAGAGAGAGAGAGAGAGAGAGACGCCATCTGGTCCGACAGCTGCCGACACACAGCAGGTCACATGATCAGTTTAATCAACATCTGCACATAAACGTCCGCGATCATCAACGTGCACAAACACGGACGACGTCCTCGGCTCCGACGACGATGTGTAAACTTTTTACGAGAAAACTCATTCAGAGAAAATCACCTGCAGCTCAAAAAGCGTTTTCAGAGACGTTAGAATTTTAACTGTTCTGGGTGTTCAGCGTTTACAGCAGCCAATAACTCTGAATGAGCCTGACGCCCCCTAGTGGCAGCTGAGGACCACTTCTCGCCACCACCTTCGTCTACACCTGCAGATTCAACCGATGAATGTGACGGGGTAGATCCCTGTGCTCCAGCCGCTAACCGTCAGAATCTATCGTCACAGAGGAGCAAGATGAAAATTCCAAAAAGCTTCCTGATGGACATTGTGAGGAGTTTTTACTCGGAGCGGGTTTAGCACCTCTCACATACAGCCCCTCAGGAGAGTGTCCGGAGATTATCTGGAGTTCAGTGCGTATCTGAAAGCTGCTTTGGAATCTAACTCTGCTGTGATTGAACCCCTGCTGCTTCAATTAGATGTGACCACCTGGGGGCGCTGGTGTGTCTGTAGGGAAGTCAGACTGTAACATATGTAGATAAACTGCGAGAGGAAAAAATCTTAACCGTGAGGTTTTGAAAACCGAAGAACTTCTGGTCTCACTCTGATGAAAGAAAGCTTCTTCATTGTCTTGTCGGCTGAAACTAATTATCATAAGGAGCGCCCGAGGGAGTCAACTGTTTATCACACAATCTCTGCTCCTTTTTAGATCCGGGGGAATTGAACCGACAACTTTCTGGCCACTGTCGTTCTACATCCCTGCACATTTCACATCACATCAATCACACTCTCTCTCTCGATCTTCACACTCAGAGCTTCGGCAGCAGGAGAATCACTTTCATGAAATCTGCTCTGCAGCAGACGATGTTTATATATGCTAACGTCTCTGAGGTGCGTTCTCCTCATAGACACATTTACATTAGAATATCAAGAGGAGAAAGTTACAGGTGGAGAGAATGTCCACTCAGTTTCAGAGTAAAGCTTCAGAGCTTGAAGGAATATATAATACTAATACTATAATACTATATATAAAATATTTCTCGTTTTTACAAATGATCTCCGTCCAGACGAGAACACAGAAATGACAAACGCTCAAACAAGCATGCAGGGCCAGCAGGTGGCGATAAAGTCAACAATTCATCAAACACCAGAGAAGAAGAACACTGTGGTTCTGGTCTGTGAACGTTATGTGAAGCAGTGATGCAAAAATGTATCTGCTTACTAACAGCTAATTAAATCCAAGCAATGCTACCCACAGGGAAAGAGACATGTTTATAGTCGTCATTGTTGTTGTATAAAGTTTATCATCAAAGTTTACTATCATTATAATCTTAATTACTTTGTATTAGATTGTGATGTTTACCTCCATTAAATTAAACATTAAGATCGTAGTCATCCTGCGAGATACAAAATATATTGAAGAAATTTACAAAAAATGAAAAACACAAACGTGGGAATATTTTAATTAGATTAAAATGTGATTAAATGAAATAAGTGACGGCTCATTTTTATAAACTGGATGTTTAAGTGACAGAAACTCAGATTTGAAAACTCAAGAGGTGAAAAGAAAAGTTTATTATGTTTTACACAAGGGATCACTGTGTGTGTGTGTGTGTGTGTGTGTGTCAATATTAATTATAATTTTCTCAAAACTTTCCAGAACAACCAACACTCCAGGCACACACTCATACACACTTTCCTCTTTAATCAACTTATTTGATATGTTTCCTTCTTTGCTAACGGCTGCAGAAGGAAACGAACAAACCGGGAGGGGGGGGGGGGTTAATTTGGATCCTCGTGGACGGAGCGGCAGCCTGAAGGTCATCGAGTTACGTTAAAGAGATTTCTTTATGTAGAAAACTTCAGGGGATTGTTTCTACGTCACGCTGAGGTGAAAACATTCACAGAACAAAAGCAGAAGTTTTCTTCATTTTATATTCAAACTGAAAAATATTTAGAAATTGTTCACATTGACGTTGTTGATGTTTTCTGAAGTTTGACACTGAAATAAACTCTGGTTGTTTTAAATGTGTTTTATAAAGAAACTCATCTCGTGTCCTCTGACATCACGTTCTTGATGAGTATTTTCAGTCTACGATGTCGTCGCCCTGACTGCGAATCCTCCGTCTCTCTGCTGTGAGTTTCCCCCTCGTCTGTGTCCTGTGCTCTGACGACCCCTGAGGCGAACTTATGATCCGTGACATTGGGCTGTATAATGAAAACGTGACCTAACTTGACTTGACGTCTCTATATGGTCGTTTTCATTGTTAGTGACGGATTCTGTCTGGAGGGATTCACAGGAAACAAAGTGAGTCGACCGACGCGGCGCTTCACACTTTGTTGTTGTTATGTTGTTTTTAGTTCACTGATACGAGCTCTGACTCGTTCCTGTTGACGCTCTGCAGACGTGTCGGAGCTGCGTCACGTTACTGCCGATGTGAAAACCAACGTTTGATCCTCTGCAGCTGATTTATCTATTTATCATTTATTATTTATTTATTATTTATTTATTATTTACTTTGATGGACACGAAGGGATCATTGAATGAAGCTCATGTCCCTCTCCATGGTGCTGAAGTCCAATCCCGTCTCTCTCCGTGGTGCTGAAGTCAGATCATGTCTGTCCATGGTGCTGAAGTCTGATCCCGTCTCTCTCCGTGGTGCTGAAGTCAGATCATGTCTCTGTCCATGGTGCTGAAGTCCAAACCCATCTTTCTCCGTGGTGCTGAAGTCCGATCCCGTCTCTGTCCATGGTGCTGAAGTCCGATCCCGTCTCTCTCCATGGTGCTGAATTCCGATCCAGTCTCTCTCCTTGGTGCTGAAGTCCAATCGTGTTTCTCTCCATGGTGCTGAAGTCAGAGCCCATCTCTCTCCGCGGTGCTGAAGTCCAATCGTGTTTCTCTCCATGGTGCTGAAGTCAGAGCTCGTCTCTCTCCGCGGTGCTGAAGTCCGATCTCGTCTCTCTCCATGGTGCTGAAGTCTGACCACATCACATCACCCTCGTTCTGTTTGCAGACACATCTTCGTTCCAGAGGCTCTTTCATGTTTGTGCCCATGTGATAAATTTATACGCTTTAGTCGGCGACGCTGTACAAACAAGTAGAGAGTGTGCGAGTGGAAAACATCCATTCAGTATTCTTGTGATTGCATCACTATCAGTTTACACGCGGCTCCGTCACCAAACATCATAGTGTGAGTAAAGAGCAGCCTGTCCCTCTCCATGGTGCTGAAGTCTGATCCTCTCCCACGTCCGTCCATGCTCGTTTATTTGCTCAAACATTTGCGATGACACTTGGTTTTTCTTCAGTGTGAAGACTTATGGATAAAATGTGCTTCAGGCAGCAGCAGCGGTAATTTTCCTTCCCTCCCACAGAGCCTCACACCTCTTCACACACCATTATTTCACATCATTTGTGTTTGTAATTTGTGTTTAATGATTCTCCTGTTGGGTTGTTTTCACCTTAATTAATTAATTTATCACACTGTGATGATTTACCCATTTGTTAATTGCACGTAGCTGCATTCAGCATGCTTTGATTGAACTTTTAACACAGGTGTAGATTTGAACACCTGCTTTAAAGCAAAGCTGATCCAGGTGATTCATCGTGCACCAGCAGGAATTTTAACATCGTGTGCCACTTCGGTCGAGAATCAGAAATTAGAAATGCACAGCGCTGAGGTGACGTCACATTGTTGCTCTGAAAAAAGATTATTTATGTCACAGTCCTGAGCGGATGATGGTTCAGTGTCATTAGCTTCTGTTGTTGGTATTTCAATCCTCGGGGATGTTCGGGGTGAAAGTTGAGGTCATCGCACTGATCCACTGAAATGTGCATAAAAAGAGGCTGGATGAAAAAAACATTTATATCTTTGAAAATCATCACAAGCCCGTCATCTTTCCTCTCCCTCCCTCTCTTTTTGGCTCTTTTAAAAATCCGTATCATCCTTGTTCGTAAATAAAAAAGGAAAAGAAGGATTAACATGTAGATCATGAAGATGCCCGGAGGGATCCTTTTTAAAAAGGTCTTTAAGTGTCTCTGATCCGTCCTCGCTGAGAAATCTATTCATACACGATCACATTTAACATCGTCGTAAAAAATTTAGACGTGTGAGAATCAAACACATGAACAATAAGCGTTTGAATTCATCTGTGTTTGTGTCTGAGCCACAGAACAGCCGACAAATCCCAGACATCACAGAGGATGAGCACATAACAGCTGACAGATGTTTGAGTCATCACTGCCGACGATCTACAGACAGCGATGCACACACACACGCACGCACACACACACACACACACACAAGCAGGTCACCATGTTGAGATGTCAGAGAGCATCTCCCGGCTGTGCTGACTCCCACAGCATCGGATTAGAAACAACACAACGTGTGTGTGTGAACATACCGACAGCCAGGTTAGCGATGAAGAAGTTGGTGACGGTGCGGAGCGTCTTGAAGCGGTAGATGACGTAGATAACCAGAGAGTTACCCAGAACCCCCAGCACGATGATGGTGCTGTAGGCCAGGATCAACACCACCTGTAAACAAATACACAAACAGCTGTAAACATCTGTCACCGTATCTGGTACGTACAGTGTCACTACTGTGGATAAATGTGATGCTGAAGCTGAAAATGTCAGTGGTTGGGTTCAGATACTGTGTGTCTGTGTGCAGATATGTGTGTGTGTGTGTGTGTGTGTGTGTGTAGATGTGTGTGTGTTGATCTTTTTTTCTTTTCTTTCTGTGTCGTACTGATGATTTTTCTTCCAGTGACACAATCGGGTCAAAGCTTCAGTTTAAATACTTTTGTTTGTGATCTAATACCTGTAAAAGTTTCCCATTAGCCTCAGTGTCACTTTGTGTTAGCTGATAATTTACTGCACCAGGGAGCTGACATCATCACCGCTGTCCTGTTTGTTTTCATCTCTTTCTTTAAGATTGTGAAATTTGACTTTTTCACAGAATGATTCATGAGATAGATGAATGAATTCTGTGAGTGAAGTGTATCTGCAAGTTTGAACTTTTAAATTTAATCACTTTAAAAGATCATTTAAAAAAAAAAGCAATGACATGAATGTGAGTAATTTGATTGACATGTCAGCCTCTACCTGCACACTCAGCAGCCTGATGGGGTCCTCTGGAAAATTCACGCCCTCGAACAGCAGTGTCGGCAGCACTGGTGGGACGGCGCTGGCATCTGGGTCGTAGTCACGGTAACCGACGTGGCCGGGGTCATCGTCAGACGTGGGCAGGAAGCGGAGCTCGTCCTGTGTGTCGTTGGCTACGCTGACGGCCTCCATATCCAATCATACGCGTTCGTCCTTCAGCGGCATTTTACAGACATTCACACTCACACACACACACACAATCTCTCACACAGCCTGTGAGAAGAGAGAGAGACAGATGAGCAACAGTTGAGTAGAAGAACATCCACAACACAAGGGGCAGAAAGTGGACGGACAGATTCAGGGTCTCTATCTTCCTCCATCACACATTATCCTCGTCCTCTTTGCAGACAAATCCTCGTTCAACGGGATCGTTCATGTTTGTGTCCATGTGATGAATTAAGATTTACAGCCGTGGTCGGGTCCCTGATGTTACTCTCTGTTAGCAACGCTCCATTTATCGCTCCATCAAATACCCACTTAACCTCCGAGCGTCCGCTGCAGCTGAAGTGTGCGTCAATAAAACTCTGTGGCTCATGTTGTGTCTTTCAAATGGTAAGAACAACAAACATTTGAGGACTGATTTGCGTGTGTGATTTTTAAATGAAAGGCTTTTTCAGGTCACTCCTTCAGAACTCTACCTGTTTTAATGGTTTGCTCTTAATCCTTTAACCTAGAAAGTAAACTGGATTATGAGCAGAAAAAAAACAAGATCAGATTATTCCAAAAAGAATGTCATTAGATTCTCTGCAGCACAGAGCTCAGATAAAAAAAATTGGTGAACAAAATGTTTTCTACTCAAGTTGCAACTGAAATCCTCAGTTTTTAAATCTTATTTTATTTATCATTCAAATTCCAGTCGTCTGTTTGTTTATGACCAAGAACAATTAAAAAAAAAGAGCAGATGAAATAAAGCAGCAGATTAGTGTTGGCGATAACTAAAATAAATTTGTCCGGTTTTCTTTAAATTTAAAATCAGGACCTTGAGACGAGGATAAGATCAATTAATCAAGTTTAGAAACTGTGTTCAGCGGCTTTAAGAGCAGCAGTGTGGCGTTTATCCTGGAGCTCGGGTGTTGTGCAGCAGCAGATGGTGGTGGTTCTGGGCAGCTCCCGGTGGTCTCAAACCCTCCGGCTGCAAATACTCCGAAAGAAAGAAGAGAAATAAAAATGCATTTTTTGAACTTTGACTCAGATCACGTAGGCGAATGAAAGTCTGAGCTGCAGCGAAGTTCTGCAGCCAAAACTATTCCAGCACGCTGTCTCTTTAACGTGAGCGTCTACAAACTGTTGTTTTAAAAAAAATTAAAATAAAACGCTGCCCGAGCAGAAAGTCATTTTCAGAGAATCACGAGAACAGACAAACTGATAAATGAGTTTTGAGAACAGTCTGAAGCAGAGACCCTCGTTAATCACCAGCTTCATTTCAAAAAGATGAGAGTGAGATACGTGTTGACAATGTGGGGACACATCCCAGAAGAGAGACAGAATCTGCACCAAATCCAAGACGTCTCATTAACAGAAAACACAACCAACAACTTAAAGTCTCCTGCACAAATTCTCTCTGCACCTTCAACATCCACATGTTCCCACATGTCACGAAAACATATTCACAGAAAACAGTAAAATCCTTCAGAATATTTCTGTTTCCCTGCGTACTGTGAAAAACCTCTTCTTATATAAAAGCGTAAACAGGGTCACTAAACGCCCCACGCTGCTTCACTGTGTGACACGAGCTTCTCTGCTAATCAACACATTCATGCATGAAATTAAATAAAGATCCAAAACATGAAAACGTTGACACATTCAGATTTGCTTCAGTAACTTGGTGTCAAATAAAGAGAAATGAAAAACAGCAGAGAGACAAAGTGCAGCACCAAACAGAAACATGAAGTGATTCTACACAGTGGTTCCAGACTTCCACGTAAAAAAGGTTCATCTTGTTTTTTTGAGGCATAAACACGAACCCTTCACAATAAAAGCCTCAGCTAATCCACATTAGATTTTCCCCTCCTTCTCATAACATACACATGTAAGTTCAACTGCTCTCTGGAGCTGCGTTTGATTCTGGACGAACACACACTGAGATGTTTGACGCTCACAGCCTCTTGCTGATCGAGTCTTTGTGTGTTGATGTGTGTTTCCTGTGGACGGAGATTGTTTTTCTTTTGAAAACAGAATTTGTCGAATAAACACGTTTGGATGGAGCCTCAGTTTCCCGTGTCCGGCGTCCAGCTGTGCGTCACACGGCAGACCCACAATTTAAACTCTGAGGTTCACAGGTGGGAAAACACAACACCAGCTGTGTCACAGCTCACACTCACACACACAAACACACACACACAGCTGTGGCCTCTCCATTTCAAGGCTCGGCAATGTCGGCCAGTCAACCGGCGTCCTCAGGGGATATTAGCACAGGAATACAAACACCGAAACACACTCACACTTGACGAAAGCACTCATAAACATTAGGAACACAACTGCAACCTCTCAGTGCCCTAAACTCTGGTGGGAATAAACACACACACTCCAGCGAGCTGATTCACTGAGCACG